GCGAGACCCCGTCTCTACTATAAATAGAAAGAAATTAATTGGCCAACTGATATATATAGAAAAAATTAGCCGGGCATGGTGGTACATGCCTGTAGTCCCAGCTACTTGGGAGGAGGCTGAGGCAGGAGGATCGCTTGAGCCCAGGAGTTTGAGGTTGCTGTGAGCTAGGCTGACGCCACGGCACTCACTCTAGCCTGGGCAACAAAGTGAGACTCTGTCTCAAACAACAACAACAAAAAAGTTGGTGTTGGGTCTGGTCTGTGAGACCCTTGTTAGCCGGTATGCCATGCCACTGCCACCCTATGCCCCTAGACTAACTGGGACAGAAGGAGAAAGAGCAAACACCAAACCAGCTGTTCAGAGGCTACACATATACACACGATTTCAAAAAATTGAATGGATGGTTACTGGGGGCAACAGGGAAGAGAGACAGGGTAAAGGGGCAGGAAATACTTTCACCTAGTTTTTGCTCCCTTCCAAGAACTTAGTTTTTTTAGAGATAGAGTCTTGCTTTGTTGCCCAGGCTGAAGTACATTGGTGCAATCATAGCTCACTGCAACCTTGAACTTATGGGCTCAGGCGATCCTCCCACCTCAGCCTCCTGGGCAGAGACTACAGGTGTGCACCACCATGCCCTGCAAATTTTTCTTTTCTTTTCTTTTTTTTTTTTTTTTGTAGAGATGGGGTCTCACTATGCTGCCCAGGCTGGTCTTTAGCTCCTGGCCTCAAGCGAGCCTCCCGCCTCAGCTTCCCTAAGTACTGGGATTACAGATGCGAGCCACTGCACCAGGTTTCCTTCAAGAACTTTGAAGCAGGAGGGGTGATGGAACATAACCACCTCTGGCACGGGTCGTCTCGGACAAGGTACGACAAGGCCATGGTCACCTGAACTCCGCGGGCTTCTTCATACCGTGTCACATAAACACATACACAGACCCACGCACACACACATATGCACTGTGTCACGATGCTCATAGCATGCAAGCTGCACCCAGCGAGGGAGGGAGAGCTCTTCCCTGCTATGAGCGCTGCCCATCAGGCAGCGGCACTCTGGCTCTGAGGCCGCATGCTGCACATCATGGACCGCTGTCTCTCCGACACATAACCCCTGGCGCCCCCAACACATAAACAGCAGCCTGGAGGCCTGAGCTCGGTAGATTCAGAGGCCCACATTCACTGCCAGCCTCCAGGGGCACAGAGCAGAGGTCGCGCCGGGGCCGAGGGCCAGTGCAGTGCTCACTCTGGGCAGTGCATGCGTCTGTCCAGACTTGGATGACCTCCACAGACAGCGGTGCTAATTCCCCTTAGGCCGGTCACCGGCATGACTTCCCGGAGCAGTAGGCCACTTGCCTCTACCCCCCCACCCCGCTGGCCACCAAGAACCACAATGGTGAGAGTGGAAACGGTTACATCGCCCAGGGAGGGCCGCTGGGCAATATCTTTCAGATTTCCAAATGCATATACCTTATAACGTAGCAAATTCTATTCGTAGAATATACTTACACACAAAATGACATGTGTACATAAATTTTTTTTTTTTTTGAGACAGAGTCTCACTCTGTTGCCCAGGCTAGAGTGAGTGCCGTGGCGTCAGCCTAGCTCACAGCAACCTCAATCTCCTGGGCTCGAGCGATCCTCCTGCCTCAGCCTCCCGAGTAGCTGGGACTACAGGCATGCGCCACCATGCCCGGCTAATTTTTTTTTCTATGTATATTAGTTGGCCAAATAATTTCTTTCTATTTATAGTAGAGACGGGGTCTCGCTCTTGCTCAAGCTGGTTTCAAACTCCTGAACTCGAGCAATCCGCCCGCCTCGGCCTCCCAGAGTGCTAGGATTACAGGTGTGGGCCACCGCGCCTGGCCGTACATAAGTTATTCATCGCAATATCATCTATTAGTAAAGAAACGAAGTAAGCTAGACATTCATCTGTGGCCGATTGGTTTCACAGACTGTGATATGTGCATATGATGGAATACTAAAAATGGGATGGTTTTGGGTATTGATCTGGTAGAATCACAGATATGCATTAATAGTTAAAATAAGCAAGGTGCAGAATTGTGAGTATATCTTACTATTATTTATGTAGAAAGAAATGACAAAAGAATATATATTTTCATTGACTTATATGTACAAAAAATATTACTAGAAGGATAAACAAGAGACTAATGGTAGTTACCTGTTACGGAGAGGAAAACTGGGATGAAGGCAACTTTCTGTTATATGCATTTTGTATATTTTGATGGTTGAATAATGTGAATGTATTATGTATTTTTCAATTTTTATTTATTTATTTTTTGAGACAGAGTTTCCCTCTCTTGCCTGGGCTAGAGTGCCACGGTATCAGCCTAGCTCACAGCAACCTCAAACTCCTGGGCTGAAGTGATTCCTCCTGCCTCAGCCTCCCAAGTAGGTGGGACTACCGGCATGCGCCATCATGCCCGGCTAATTTTTTCTATTTTTAGTTGCCTGGCTAATTTTTTTTTCCTATTTTTAGTAGAGAAAGGGTCTCGTCTTAGGCTGGTCTGAAACTCCTGAGCTCAAGCAATCCTCCTGCCTCAGCCCCTGGAGTAGCTGGGACTACAGGTGCATGCCACTATGCTTGGATACTTTTTTCTGTTTTTTATTTGCCTGGCTAATTTTTTTTTTATTTTTAGTAGAGAAGGGGTCTTGCTCTTGCTGAGAGATCCTCCCTCCTCAGCCTCCCAGAGTGTTAGTAATACAGGCATGAGCCACCATGACCAACTTGAATGTATTATCTATTCAGAAAATTAGGTTAGGCTGGGTGCAGTGTCTCATGCCTATAATCCCAACATTTTGGGAGGCTGAGGAGGCAGGATCGCTTGAGGCTGGAGCTCAAGATCAGCCTAGGCAACACAGTGAGACCCCCATCGCTACAAAAAAAAAAATTGTTAAAAATTAACCAGGTGTGGGGACATGGGCTGGTAGTTCCATGTACGCAGCAGGCTGAGATGGGAGGATCTCTTGAGTCCAGGAGTTCGAGGTTGCAGTGAGCTATGATCGGGCCACTGCATTCCAGCTTGAGCAACAGAACAAGACTGTGTCTTTGAAAAAAAAGTGAAGTTAAAAAAGCACAAAATCACAAAAAAAGGGAGAATAATTCCACAGATCAAAGTGGCAAAAGAGAGAGCCCTGCATCCTTGTGAGCTGGGCAGGGGACACCCAGACAGGGAGAGAGGAGGAGTGGGCAGGCAGAGGAGGAAGGAAGGAAGGAAGCCAGATGCCTCCAGTTACTCTCTGTGCTCATAAAAGCCTTTGCGAGCAGGAGTCTGGAATTTCTCTTCCCACAGTGTCATTTGGTTACGGGCCTAATCATTCTCTAAACTTAGGCATGGTTATGTGGTTTGGGAAATCTTGTCTTTTTTGAAAATGTAAACATTTTTACACAGGTCCTTCAAAAAACTAGGTCACCCCTAAAGCAATGACATCCTTTGAAGTTGCTTGACTTCCCGACACCCCTTCCCTTCCCCAGCCAACTCCAATATCCTGGAAAAAAAAAACAAAACACCTGCCAAATGCTATGTATTTGTTTTAAAGATTGATTTTTGAGAATCTTATGACACTGCTGTAAGAGAACTGGCAACACCCTAGGGTGTTGCAAAACCCAACTTGGGAGAGGCTGCCTTTGATCAGCAAGGAGCCACACACGGCCAAGACTCGGCCCAGTGGGGCCTGCACCACTCTGGCATGACTTTGGGGGGCAGGGGCGGGGTAGAGGCCAGAGGCTGCCTCTTCACCTCCATCCCCCCAGGCATTTCCACGGATCTGAAGGCCTGCTGGGCGGCGTCCTTCCTGGCCATGGACGGCATTTGCTTGGGAGACCCTGAAAAACCCTGCTCATGGGTGAGTGGCTGGGTCCCTGGGAGATGAAGCCGGTTCTTTTTCCTCAGGGATAATTTTAGGTTCTTACTTCTCCAATCTTCCTAACTCCCAACCCCTGGCTCAGCCTCCCAGAGGGATTGCTTAGACCAGTGACTGACTATACAGCGTTTTTTTTTTTTTTTTTTGAAATATGGAGCTGTTCAAAAGCGACTTGCTGGGGCACGGCCCTGCAGGCATTTTCCATGATCATTTTTTCCCCCTTTGGTCCCCTCCTTTCAGCGGAGGAGGCAAGACGGCCCAAGCACCAGATCCTGACGGGCCCTAATGATTGTATCTTACCTTCCTGCCCCTCAACTTGAACCTGGGGGCTTATTTCCCAGTTTCACACGCAATCTGAGAGGAGCTGGGTCAGCAGCTGGGAGGGCTTGTGCTGGCAGAACTAGGCCTGTTGGGTCTGGGTGAGGAGAGAGAAGGGAAGGGGCCCCGGCTTGTCAGGGGAGGGAGGCCTCTGACCAGGCCGTGGAGAGAACACAGGCCTGGCAGTCCACACACTCAAGGTGAACCTGTGATTTCCTCAACCCAATGCCTTCTAGTTTGTATTTTTTTTTTTTTTGGGACAAAGTCTCGCTTTGTTGCCCAGGCTAGAGTGAGTGCCATGGCGTCAACCTAGCTCACAGCAACCTCAAACTCCTGGGCTCAAGCGATCCTGCTGCCTCAGCCTCCTGATTAGCTGGGACTACAGGCATGCGCCACCATGCCCGGCTAATTTTTTCTATATATATTAGTTGGCCAATTAATTTCTTTCTATTTATAGTAGAGACGGGGTCTCGCTCTTGCTCAGACTGGTTTCGAACTCCTGACCTCGAGCAATCCGCCTGCCTCGGCCTCCCAGAGTGCTAGGATGACAGGCGTGAGCCACCACCATGCTTGGCCTGCCTTCTAGTTTTTAAACGTTCATGAATAAAATCTTTAAGGAAGTGGAGTGAACACTTTACCATGGGAGAGGGGGGGTGATGATGGAAGGTTTGTGGGCAGGTGACGGTGAGCATCCATTTTTAATGTCTTCATGACAGAAGAACTTTAAGGGAAGGGGTCTGTCCGGGAAACTGGAAGGCGGACAGGTGGGGGGGGGCGGGGCGGGGAAGATGGAGGAATCCATTCGCTGTGGCATCATAGGTTACCTAAAGGCAAGATCCAAACACAAATGGGCAGTCAATGAAAAAAACTCCAGAAACGTGGCAAATTTCTTCCGTAGTTGTTCTGAAAAACGAACAGGACAGTGGAGGAAAACAGAGGGTAAACGAAATAGAAGAAGGGAAAGGGAGGAAGCTCACTGGGATGAGGTCTTGGGAGAGGAGAGGAGTTAGGGTCTGCCCACCATTACTTTGTTTAAAATACCTTAGTGGCCGGCCAGGGCGGATGAGGGGCGACTGCTACGGTGCACGGCTCTGCTAGAGCCGGGAGGGCCCCCTCCCCTCTGACTTGGTAAAGGATGGGGTGCAAGCGTTCGCTCTTCCCCTTGCCCCAGTGCTGCTGCTGGACCTTCTGAGAAAGCAGGCGCAGGGCTCCAGGAATCCAGTGCCAAGGGAGTGCTGTGCTGAGTCCCCGCGCCTGGCCGTGGTAGCGGCCGACAGGTCGCGGCAGAGGAGTCGGGCATCTGCTACTCCAGCTTTGGCTAAAGGAGAACTCGAGCATCCATCCTGCCTCCCTCCCCACACTCCCATCCCCCTCCCGAGGCCCCTCCACTGAGACTAGTGGCCGCTGCCCCTTTAAGCGCAGCCACTCCTCCCCCCAGAGCGGTGGCACCAAAGGAGTGGGGAGGGGGCAGGCTGAGAGTCCGCGTCCCTTCCACCGGGAAGATGGCCCAGGCTGGGGGGCTCGCTCCCACGCCCCGCTGCCCCCGCCCCTGAGCCGGGCGATCTGGGAGACTCCCTCCCTGGGTCCCTCCCGCCCCACGCGCGGCGAGGGGATGGCTCCGTGGCCTCACGGGAACGGCTCTCTGGCCTCGTGGCCAGACGCCCCCACCCTGGCGCCCCATACCGCCAACGCGAGTGGGCTGCCAGGGGTGCCGTGGGCGGCGCTGGCGGGGGCGCTGCTGGCGCTGGCGGTGCTGGCCACCGTGGGAGGCAACCTGCTGGTGATCGTGGCCATCGCCCGGACGCCGAGACTCCAGACCATAACCAACGTGTTCGTGACGTCGCTGGCAGCGGCCGACCTGGTAATGGGGCTCCTGGTGGTGCCGCCGGGGGCCACCTTGGCGCTGACTGGCCACTGGCCGTTGGGCGCCACTGGGTGCGAGCTGTGGACGTCGGTGGACGTGCTGTGCGTGACGGCCAGTATCGAGACGCTGTGCGCCCTGGCCGTGGACCGCTACTTGGCCGTGACCAGCCCGCTGCGCTACGGCGCCCTGGTCACCAAGCGCCGCGCCCGGGCAGCCGTGGTGCTGGTGTGGCTCGTATCCGCCGCGGTGTCGTTTGCGCCCATCATGAGCCAGTGGTGGCGCGTAGGGGCCGACGCCGAGGCGCAGCGCTGCCACGCCAATCCGCGCTGCTGCGTCTTCGCCTCCAACATGCCCTACGTGCTGCTCTCCTCCTCCGTGTCCTTCTACCTTCCGCTTCTGGTGATGCTCTTCGTGTACGCGAGAGTGTTCGTCGTGGCTACGCGCCAGCTGCGCGCGATGCGCGGGGAGCTGGGCCGCTTTCCGCCGGAGGAGTCTCCGCCGGCTGCGTCGCGCCCTCGGTCCCCAGCCTCGGCGGGGACGTGCGCCTCGCCCGAGGGAGGGCCCTCCTGCGGCCGGCGGCCCGCGCGCCTGCTGCCTCTCCGGGAACACCGGGCCCTGCGCACCCTGGGGCTCATCATGGGCACCTTCACTCTCTGCTGGTTGCCCTTCTTCCTGGCCAACGTGCTGCGCGCCCTCGGGGGCCACTCTCTAGTCCCCAGCCCGGCATTCCTCGCCCTTAACTGGCTGGGCTATGCCAACTCCGCCTTCAACCCGCTCATCTACTGCCGCAGCCCGGACTTTCGCAGCGCCTTCCGCCGTCTGCTGTGCCGCCGCCGGCGGGAGGAGCCCCGCGCCGCCTCCTCCCCGGCCCGCGTCCCCTCGGGCGCCCCCGCAGCCCTGCGCAGCCCCGCGCAGTCCAGGCAGTGCCCGCCGCTCGACGGGTAGGTCACTCGGGCCAAGGGACCGGTGGCGCAGGATGGGGAAGCGTTGCGTGTCTCCCTGGGTTGACTTGTTGAATTTGGGGGTTGCTAGGACAAGGTGGGGGAGGGTGGCTCTGCCTTAAGAGAACAGAGGACGGGGAGTAGGGAACCAAAACAGATCCGACCAGCCGGATCGAAGCAAAGGGGGGCGGGCTGTTCTTCACCCTGGGACCCAAAGGTGCCCCACGGGAAGGAACGTGCTGCCGCGCCCCAGCCCAGCGTCCTGCCCGGTCCGCTCCAGTTTTGGTTTTCTGGCTCAGTTCTTTGGCCGCCTAGATTTCTTGCGGTCACTAGACCTGGCTCTCGCCCCGGAAGAGAAGGCTAGTGGCTGTCCTACCCCTTCGGCCTCGGTTCTGATTTCTCTCCAAGGTTTCATGGCTATGAAGGTGACAATCCACTTCGGGTGTGAAGGACAGACAAGAACAGGGGCCCCTGTGAGTTCCCGCCCGGGCTGGGTGGGAGTCGGGAGTGGGATTTTTGTGGCTGGGTGGTGCCCCATGCTTTCCAGGGTCCTTGATCTCTGCCCCTCTCGCCAGCTCTCCCTTCCCACCCTCTGCTTCTTCACCCCAACATATGTTCTCTCCATTTTCAGGGCTTCCTGGGGAGTTTCTTAGGCCTTAAGGACAAGAATCAACAAACTCCGTTGACCCAGAACCTTCAGAAAGCCTCTGGCCTCTGTACAGAATGAGCCCGGAATTCCCCAGCTGCAAACTCTGCCCTCCAGAGCCCCATGGTTGGACGGCGGCATGGGGAGGGCCTCCCTCCCAAGTGGGGTTCACACCCTCTCCCTCTCTCTTTTGAGAGGAGGTTTCTAAACCCCACCCTGGACTTCACTGCTACCTTGGAAGTAGCCCTCAGCCGCCCTGGAACAGCCGGGCTGGCCTGGGTAGGGGCACCTGTCACCTTGTGCACGTGTGTGCTTCATGCTCAGGGCAGAGAGAGCACTTTGGTTCCCTTAATGCTGCTACCAGACCCTGATGAGCCACTCTGGGTTGTAGGCACGGTGGCCCAGGAGGAGAGCAGTAGGCTAGACAAGGTCAAGGTTTGGGGTTTATCCTGGGCTCCCTCTGCAAACACCAGCTCCTCTCACTTTAGCCACGGAACAGCTCTGATCTACCTCACAGTGTCAGGAAGACGTCTCCAGGGTTCGGGGGGGGGACTCCAGGGTTCATAGGAAGGTGAACCATTAGAACGGATCCCTTATTTTCCTTTTAAAATCAAATTAATAAATATTCCTGAATGCAGTTTATCCTTTGCCCTCTTTTCTCTCCATTTGTTTTCTTTTCATAATCCACTTATTCCCTTCCCTTCGGTTTAGAGCTGGCTTTTGACAGAGGCCATAAATTATGACTAATCCTTGCCCCTTTCTTCCTAATCCTCATCAAACAAAGAATGAAAAGTCTGTTTGGATGCAGGGGAGTGAGCTTGAGTCTTTCACCCTCCTGCTTCCCCACCCTTTCTGGAACTCCTGGAGACCAGTCGCAAGTGAGCGGCAAGGCCACCGTGCCACCCACAGGAGGTCAGCAGGGTTTCCACAGTGGCCAGGCTCAGGGCACGGGGGCATTTGTCATCTCCCATGCTATGAACCAGTGCTAGACTCGTAAGGGCCCATTGCCACCTGGAACTAGTTTTGTTCAATGCCTTAAGTGTGTGTAGGCACAGAGCATTGTTTGTATCCGGCAAATGTCTTGGGTTATAAATGTATTCTGATGTTTCCCAGCCTCTACATGACTTATGCCGTTCCCCTTGTGCTTGCTGTGCTGCAGAAATATTATCTTCTTTAAGTAAAACTGGAGTTACAAATTTGAGCCTGTTGATACTTTTCCCCCTTATTTTAATTTTTTTTCAGTTTCCTATGGAAAGAAAATTTGTATGGAAATCATTGGATCATTTTGTGAGTTTTTTTTTTTTTTTTGAGACAGAGTCTCACTTTGTTGCCTGGGCTAGAGTGCTGTGGCATCAGCCTAGCTCACAGCAACCTCAAACTCCTGGGCTCAAGTGATCCTTCTGCCTCAGCCTCCTGAGTAGCTGGGACTACAGGCATGCGCCACCATGCTCGGCTAATTTTTTCTATGTATATTTTTAGTTGGTCAATTAATTTCTTTCTATTTATAGTAGAGACGGGGGTCTCACTCTTGCTCAGGCTGGTTTTGAACTCCTGACCTTGAGCGATCCACTCGCCTTGGCCTCCCAGAGTGTTAGGATTACAGGCGTGAGCCACCTCGCCTGGCCATTTTGTGGGTTCTTATTTACACTCCATGAGCAAAGACCATTGTCCAGGCTGATTTACAGGCTACCTGGTAAATCGCAAACGTTGCACTATATCACTCGTGTGATACAGTACACAAAGCATTGGTGAGGTTCCGGAGCTCTGGAATTATAAACCTTTGATCTGCTCTCAGGACAAGCTTGGTGGATTTCCACATATGGGTGTTCCCTGTGCATTGGACCTGTCCACGCTGCCTTCTTTGCTCCAGGAGCCCAGGTTTTATTTCTTAGGATGTTGGCATACCAAAGATGGCTCTCTCTCTCTTTCAACCCTGAGCAGTGCAAGATCTCCCCTGTCTGAGGCGTGGAAGGGTTTCTTGGCAAGGACTCAATCTTTCAACTGTGGCTCGTAGTGGAGGAGGAAGTTCTTGCTTGACAAAAAAAAGAGAGCCTCCTCTCCCCATCTCTGGATATTTTCCCAGCGCCACTGAGCAAAGCTGGCCAGTAAGTCCTCTGGTTTGTACACTCGTCCTTGAACGTTGTCCAGGGCTCATGCTGCCGGGGTCTTGCTCGACACGCGCCCGTGTGCCAGCTGTCAGACTCCTTGGGAATGTTTAGACTTGTACTGGGGCCGTGGGTTCCATCTGCGGACTGTCACCCGTGCCCCTGACAGGTGGAGAGGCGGTCCCTGTGGGCGCTGCTCCAGCAGCTTGGGGGGGGGGCAGGTGTGGAGCTGAGGGAGACTGACTTCCGCGGACGGGAGCTTTTTTTGCTAGCACAGGCCCCGAGCGCGCCAACTCCATGAGAGCCATGCAGGGCCGGGCTTGTGGCCGATGACAGGGACAAGGGGCTGAGTTGGAGGGAGGCCGTGGGGGCCCTGCCCTCCTCCGCGCAGGGCGGGCTGGGGAGGTTGCCAGAGTCCCGGACCTCTGCCCGCGGCCGGCTCCGCGGGGCCTGGAGGAGGAGAGCCGGGCTGCGACCCCGACGGCCGCCCGGCTGCAATTGCACCCCGGCTGCAATTCCACCCCAGGTGGCTTCTCCCCGCCGTGCCCCGGGGAGCCCCGCGAGGGCCCGGGCGAGCCTCGGCACCTGGGCGCCTCTCGCGTCCGCCGTGAAGCCCAAGACCCGTGCCCGCGCGCGGCCACCTGCTCTGGCGTGGCTCGTTGCTTTCTGTGAGGTCGCAGGGATTCGCGCCGCTGCTCTCCGTTTCCTCCTCGGTGCAGTAAGTACACCGCGAACCCGGCCTCCTCCTCGCCCGGCCGAGCGAGCGCCCCCTGACGGCCATGCGAGGCTCCGCGGGCGTGTTGTTGCCGCCTTTCCAGAAAATAGGACCTGCCCATAAAATGAGCCCTAGCAGGATGTCTAAGCATTTGCGCAATAGAAGCCCTAACCCGAAAATAAGACCGACCCATAAAATGAGCCCTGTAGGATGTCTAAGCATTTGCGCAATAGAAGCCCTGCCCCAAAAATAAGACCTACCCATAAAATGAGCCCTAGCAGGATGTCTAAGCATTTGCGCAATAGAAGCCCTAACCCGAAAATAAGACCTACCCATAAAATCTGTAGGATGTCTAAGCATTTGCGCAATAGAAGCCCTAACCCGAAAATAAGACCTACCCATAAAATGAGCCCTAGCAGGATGTCTAAGCATTTGCGCAATAGAAGCCCTAACCCGAAAATAAGACCTACCCATAAAATGAGCCCTGCAGGATGTCTAAGCATTTGCGCAATAGAAACTCTGCCCCAAAAATAAGACCTACCCATAAAATGAGCCCTAGCAGGATGTCTAAGCATTTGTGCAATAGAAGCCCTACTCCGAAAATAAGACCTAGAGATGGGCGTGGCTAAAGTAGCACATCTTGCACAACCCATGCATTTCCTGGCGGAGGGGGTCAAGAAGATGAGCAGCCCTTCTCATCTGCCCCATGAGAGCTATAGCGCCCCACATGAGAGATTGGGGCCAATGGTTCTAAAGGAAATAGAGTCGCAAGACATTCAGGATGGAATTCGGGGTTTGGAGAGTTATGGTGATGTTCCAGAAAAAGACGACTTCACTATATTGGAATAAATGTAGATTGTTGTACCGTACTTAAAAATAACAGCACATACCCTGAAAATAAGCCCTAGGGTGTCTTCTTGAGGAAAAATAAATATAAGACCCTGTCTTAGTTTCGGGGAAACACGGTAGTATTGTCGCCAGACCGGCAGCCAGAACGGCAGTTTCCGCTTGGCCTGGGCTGTCAGGGCTGGAGGAGACCATAGAAAAAGTTTGCTCCAATCCTTTGATAAAACAGACGAAGAAACTGATTTCTAGAGAGCCGTAATAAGCACTTAAAATGCCTTTAGTCATTGAAAGGCAGTACCGTGCTAAAGAGCACAGAATTCAGAGAGGGAAGCACAAGTAAAAAGGAAGGAAGGAAATGACCATTTATGAACCACTTGCTGTGTGCCAAGCACTATAAGAGGTGCTCCACAAATGCTGTGATATGTAATAGTGACAACAAATAAACACTAGAGCCTCATAGAAAGCAAATAGCTTGCTCGTGTTGATTCAAACCTGGTCTACCAGAGTCCAAAGTTCACTTTCTTTTCTCGAAAGCACTGCTGACAATCGGTTAAGTGAACTGAGCAAGTTACTTAGCCTCTCTGGCCTTTTCTTTGCCTGCCAATCAAATGGAGATTATGTTATTGCTCTATGTAGCTCATGCAGACGGGTTTTGAGGACCCAAAGAGATAGCGTATGTGAAAGTGGTTTGGAAACAGAAAGGGCTTCTTTGGTGCAAACGGTGGCATCAGAGTCTGGGGCTAGAATGAGTCCCCGGTCTCCTGTGTGGCCTTGCTTCTGTTGACAGCCTGGGTCTTGGACTCGTATGTCTTTGGTCACTGTGGGCATGCAGAGGGCTTGGTCCCTCTTCTGCAGGTCTGTACCCACCGCAGACTAACCCCTTGGTTTTCTGTCCCTGTCACTATACTCTGCTCTGTCCATATTTCCACGTTCAGACTCTGGGCTGGCCCGTGCCCCATATTTTGGTCCTGGTTTGGATCACCCCACCATTGCTGATGCAGTGTTTACAATGAGATAAGTTTTGAGGATGGGTAGAATGTTTACAACAGAGAGCACTTCTAGGTGCCAGGACCTTATGGTCCATTACGGTAGGGGTTCATGAGACCAGAGCCCTAACAACCAGAAAGAGGAGGGAGGGCATATACATTTGCTAGGGCTGCCATGACAAATTACGGAGTGATTTGACCGGATGCGGTGGCTCACGCCTCTAATCCTGGCACTCTGGGGGGCCGAGGTGGGAGGATTGTTTGAGCTCAGGAGTTCGAGACCAGCCTGAGTAGAAGTGAGACCCTGTCTCTACCAAAAATAGAAAAAATTAGCCAGGCATGGTGGCGCATGCCTGTAGTCCCAGCTACTCGGGAGGCTGAGGCAGGAGGATCGCTTGAGCCCAGAAGTTGGAGGTTGCTGTGAGCTAGGCTGGCATGGCAGCCACGGCACTCTAGCCCAGGCAACAGAATGAGACTCTGTCTCAAAAAACAAAAAATAAAAACAAACATAAAACTCCAAACAAACAAACAAAAAAAACTGAGTGGCTTAAAACAATAGAAATTTATTCTGTCACAGTTCTATAGACTAGAAGTCCAAAAGGAAGGTGTTGGCAGGGTGGTGCTCTCCCAGAAGGCTCTCGGGGAGGATTCCTTCCTCACCTCTCCCAGCCTCTGGTGGTTGCTGGCAATCCTTGGTGCTGTTTGGCTTGTAGCTATATCTCTCCAACTTCTCCCCCGTCTGTGTCCAGATTTCTCTCTTCTTATAAGGACATCAGTCATTGGATAGGGCCCAACCTAATCCAGTATGACCTCATTTTAACTTGATTACATTTGCAAAGACCCCATTTCCAAATAAGGTCACATTTGCAAGTTCTAGGAGTTAAAGATTTCAACACATGTTTCAGGGAAACACATTCAACTCCTAACAGAGGGTACAATGGGGAGGGGGCACCATTGCTCCTGGCTTTCCCTCTTATTCCTGTTGCTTCA